TCCCTTGACCAAATTTTGACCGTATCACCCTTTATAAAGGGTTTTGCATTAAGTGTTTCCTATATTTAAAGTTGAATAAAACAAATTGTGTGTGAGATATTGACGAGATTTATTTTTCGATTGCAAGGCCTATCAATACCATTGACATCGTTCAAATGGGCGCCTCAGCTTCGCTTGGTGGCGTACATCCGAGAGGTTTCCATGACTCTGGCGCACAAATCGGGCTGAATCTCATTAATAACTTGAGTAATGTTGGCTTTGAGGGCATCGGTGGTTTGCGGCTTATTGGCATAGACCTGCGACTTAACATAACCCCACAAGAAAAAGTCTAGCGGGGTTAAATCACACGATCTTGGTGGCCAGTTGACATCGCCTCCGCGCGAAATAACCATGCCCGGAGATCGCTCATGCAGAATATCGATTGTTTCGTGCGCTGTGTGACACGTTGCACCGTCCTGTTGGAACCACATATCGTTCACATCCATATCGTCCACTTTAGGCCAGAAGAAGTCGACAATCATCGACCTGTAGCGCTTTCCGTGGACGGTGATGCACACCAGTGAATTTCTGGGGATGCATTGTCACTTGGTGGACCTCGTGTGGATTGGCCTTGTCCCAAAATTCGACAATTCTGCTTGTTCACATACCCGTTCATCCAGAAATGGGCCTCGTCGCTGAAGGTTTCCAACTGCTCTAAAACCCAATCAGCGAACACACGGAGCTGTCTATGATCGTTATGCCTTAGCTGCTGGGTAAATTGGATCTTGTATGGGTGCAGTCCTAAGTCTCGACGCTGAATTCGCCAAGTTAAAGCCTGCAAGAGGTCCAGTGTGCGGAATCGACTACCACGGGTACTCTTTCACACTTTCGCGTACAGCGGCGATAATCTCGGCAGACCTTGCGTTCCGTTAACGCACGCGTGGTCGTTGAGCGTTCACCGAACCAGTTTCCTCGAATTTGTTCACCACATTGCGAATAGTACTCTCAGTAGGGCGATTATTGCGACCATAAAATGTTAGGAAATCCTTTTTGGAAAACCCTTTACCTTTTAATTAAGCATATAACCAGATGCGATAGAGCCGAAGAGATCACTTAATTAAATGAGTTATAATTAAGCAAAATTTCTCTGGCTCAAACAACCGGGAAAATTCACCAAAATTCCGGGAAAAATCCGGGAAATTTAAAATTTGGATTTGCTGGTCACCATGATTATGGCTGATGCAAATTTAGGTTTTGCTTTATGCCAGCCAATAATCACAAAAGGGGGCGACCCCGGTGTAGTGGTTAACATCCATACCTCTCACGCCAAGGTCACAAGTTCAAATCTCACCCCGGACAAGTCACGAATGACCCAAGTGTGTTAAAGTGACTATAGAAATTTAAAAAAAAAATCAATATCTAGCCCTTTTTTAAATTGTTTTTCGCTCTACGCTTTATCCTAAAACTACAAAAAATATTTATTAAAGGGTGATACGGTCAAAATTTGGTCAATATCAACTTGACGTATTTCTTTCAATTTTGCATTTAAAAAACCTGAACACCCCTCATTTTGAAGGTGTGTGTGTGTAGAATGTTGCTCCTATTTTGATTTTGGAATTCACTTTTCAGTTGTCAAAATGCCGTCCAAGCAAGAAGAGCAGCGTATCAAAATTTTGCTCGCGCATCGCGAAAATCCGAGCTACTCGCACGCAAAGTTGGCAAAATCGCTAAAAGTTGCCAAATCAACCGTTACAAATGTAATTAAAGTGTTTGGGGAACGTTTGTCGACAGCCAGGAAGTCTGGATCGGGGGGAAATCGAAAACCGGAAGCCGCTGAGACGACAAAGAGAGTTGCCGGTAGTTTCAAGCGAAACCCTAACCTCTCTCTCCGAGATGCCGCAAATAAGCTGGGTGTATCGTCTACAACCGTGCATCGAGCCAAAAAACGAGCCGGACTATCGACTTACAAGAAGGTAGTGACTCCAAATCGCGATGATAAACAAAATACGACGGCCAAAGCGCGATCCCGGAGGCTGTACAAGACGATGCTGACGAAGTTTGACTGCGTGGTAATGGACGACGAAACCTACGTCAAAGCCGACTACAAGCAGCTTCCGGGACAGGAGTTTTATACGGCAAAAGGAAGGGGAAAGGTAGCAGATGTTTTCAAGCACATGAAACTGTCAAAGTTCGCAAAGAAATATCTGGTTTGGCAAGCCATCTGTTCCTGTGGCTTGAAAAGCAGCATTTTCATAGCTTCCGGGACTAGACCAAGAAATTTACGTGAAAGAGTGTTTGAATAAACGTCTGCTGCCTTTCCTGAAGAAACACGGTTGTTCCGTACTGTTTTGGCCGGATTTGGCATCTTGCCATTACGGTAAAAAGGGCATGGAGTGGTACGCCGCCAACAACGTGCAGGTGGTTCCCAAGGACAAGAACCCTCCCAACACGCCAGAGCTCCGCCCAATTGAGAAATACTGGGCTATTGTCAAGCGGAACCTAAAGAAGACCAAAAAAACTGCTAAGGGCGAGCAGCAGTTCAAGGCAAACTGGCTTTCTGCGGCGAAGAAGGTGGACAAGGTGGCTGTACAAAATCTGATGGCAGGGGTCAAGCGTAAGGCCCGGCAATTCGGATTTGGAAAAGCGGAAGCCTAACTGAATATTTTTCCTGAATTTTATACTAATTGAACTTGAAAAAGAAATTTAATTTGATTTTTTAAATAAACGATTTCACCGATTTACACGCGTTTTCCGTTGACCAAATTTTGACCGTATCACCCTTTAATTTATCATTAAACAAGTTGTTTTTTTTTATTCGTCCCTTGCTTTTTAATATTTACCCCTCCTCGGCCTATTTGTGTGATGTCGAACATAAAATGAACATATTATTGGCGTCAGCCTTATTTTAGATAATCAAATAATATTTTTATTAATTCAATAAGGAAATTACTTTTCTGACTAGATTTATGACGATAAACAATTTTCTAAAATGATTCTGGATTCAGATCGCAAATTGGTGATTAGAACGAAAAATTGAGGAACAAATACAAATGATCAAAGTCTTTGATTTAGACATGTTTTGACACTTTTTAGACAATTTATTTTAAAAACCTCGGATATAGCAACTTTTGAATCACCTAAACTTTTCATAACTCTGGGACCTACACAACTTTTCTAGATAGCAGTCCAAGAAAAAATCTCATTATTCTGGAACGAGGAAAATTTTCCTAGATGGAAAGATCGTGGACACGGCAAATAAATCTGGCTCATGTTTGAATCACGTTCACTTAAATTCGCAAAAACGTTGAACTCAAATATGCGCTAATGTCACTAAAATATGAGTGATTGGGGAATGGATATAATGTCGGGCTAAATGCCCCTAATTTTGGCTCATCATAAATTCAGCAATCGATTAAATTTTCAATAGTACCGTATAATGACGCGTTCATCTAGATAACATTGATAAATAGCAATTTTTTAGCGATGGGTCCGATCTTAGATCCATAGGCCAACATTAGAACCATTTCCCCTATGTAAAAATTTACTCAAATAAGAATTTGAGTGAACGGTTGCCGTGTAGAAAATTTTGCATGCAATTTAAAATATGTATTTCGAACAAATTAGAAATATTCCGAGATAAATTTAAGTTTTGGACCATTTTTTTAATGCTAGGACATGCAAATTCAAGACCTCTCTAACTAACAAGTCAAGAAAATTGTGCACTTTTAGACCAATTCATCGTGCGCATACTAACTGAATTTACCAGGAATTAAGAAGCTAGTTAATCAATTTTATAGTGCCTCTTTTTTTAAGAACCGCACTATCTGCTTACCAGCGATAACGCTCTGATGAGACAACAAAACCCCAACCCCATGCTTCCCCACTGATCCTATCCTTCGACAATGTACCCTTCTATCCTCGGGTAAGCCGCGACTCCTACTAGATCTAGAATTAAGTGAATTTTTTTTTTACGAAATAATGAATGATCGGCTTCGTAAAGCTTACGCGATTGAGCATACCAAATAAACGAACTAGATGAAAAAAAAACCCAACCTTTTAAAAAATTTCCAAATTGCATAGAGCAGGCATGCGCGCATGCAGTGAGATAGACGATGCATTAGGAAGTACGGAATCCTATATTCTTTTATTTCCTTCTCAGACTACCCTTGCAATTTTAAGTGAAATTTCGTTCAATAATAAAGATAAACCACAAGGGCTATAATGTTATTGCATTCCATGCAAGATGCTGCATCGCCGAAGCAACACGTTCCGGATCCCACGCACACCCAGCTGTTTCATCTCGGCAACACTGGCTATCACCAGGTTAGGCTTGTCCGTGTATGAGTGCTTCCATATGCTGCGTGTATATTATGATCTCCTCCACTCGGTTATTATTAAAACGGGGGTCTCTTTTGGTGTGGGTGAACGCCAAACTATTTTGACACCACAAACCATCGGCCATCGTCAGAGCATGTGAATATAACGCAAAAGTGAGAAAAAATATGAGAGAATGATTCGTCTAATTGTGCTATTTTTAAACATATTAGAGACCGTCTGGTTGTTTGAATGAATGCGAAAATAGTCTGGCTGAAAAGGAAAAATGAAATTACCATCCGGCAACGTGGAAAACGGTCGATTACCAGAGCGAGAATTTATGCTGTAAAGAATAAAGCAATTTTTGCATCTGAGAACGCTCACACTGTTGTAAACACACACATACACACATGCACGTGGTTAGCGAAGTTGCACGCAGAAAATGCAATTAGGGAGTAAGATTTATGTTGCAAACAGAAAACGCAGATTCAGCACACGATTTTGCCTTGGCTTGCCAATTTTCTTCAGCGACCCTTGCCAGAAATGAGGAATGTTGGCTTTCAGCAGGGGACGCACACACAGAAAAGCAAGGGAGGGAATCTCCTTCTTTGGAGAGATATTTTCCCTTTGGTGGGTGTAAGTCCAGCTCACTGCTGTTAGGGGGGAGTTGTTGTTGTTATTGTTTGTAGCCGTTCAAAGTTGTTTACCTCTCCTTGAAGTATTGCAGCGTCACTGATTCCGAATCGAACTCGTCATAGTCTGGCAGGGAGTCACCATCGAAGGACGATTGTATTCCGCTCAATCCGAGTTGCGTATGATAGTAGTCATCGCTTTTCGCCGTCAGCACTTTTGACATTTCACTTTTTTTTTACCTTCGCCTCTTTTTTTCTTCTACTCACACACGTTGAAGCACCACGTTCACTTTCACCTTAATTTTTTTTTTCTCCCTATACCGCTGACAAATCACCTTCAATATTATTCAATTTCCTAAAAGAGACCTTTATTAAATTAGACTCCAAAACCTTCGGGAATTATGCTTTCCCACCAAATTTTCACTAAAAAAGGAGATGATTGCTGATTTATTCACTTGTCTCAAGCACCAAACGAAAATCAACCGAGAAATCTACTTCCCCAAAAAACCCAGAACACGCACTACAGCAAAAGTTTTCACGGCCTCGAATCGAAATTGGAATATCCCAGGAAAATAAGAAGTGAAAATCATAAAACGGAAATCTCAAAAACCATGAACCGTCGGACACAATCCAATGTATGGCTAGGCCAGAAAGAATTGATTTTCTTGCTGTCTCGCTCCGTCCGACTGCTCCACGCACCTCGCTTTTCACACAGCCTTCATCCAGTCTCTTTCACTCTGTATGTCTTTTTTCCCAACGAAGGAGGAAAACACATCACACCTTGTGCGGACCAAGCGAGGAGGGGACGGTACCGTGGTGGGTTAAAAAATAAAAGAAACGATCTGAACACCGTTCTACACGGTGGCCAACGTACCGGAAAACCGAACCAAAGAGAACCTGTCGCCGTCGAAGCTCTTCCGAAACTGAGCAGTTTACCGTAAGGGAGTTCATCGCCGAGGTGCTGTGAGCTTTTTCTCAATTTGGCCACGTTCAGACGATTCGGTTCGATGTTCAACTCAATTGCACTGCGATATTAATGGCTAGACAACTGGTCGATGTCAAACATTATTCGTTCGCATTCAAGTGACTTTAATGTCGAGTAACATATCTGGGGCGAATTCAATCAACTTACTTGAACAATGAATATTTGCCTCTTTAAGTGGAGAGAAAGAGAGAAATATGTCACAGTTGGCTCTCTTTTTTTTTGTTTTTGTGGATGCTTTTCTCCAGCCAAAAACAGCTGTTCATGGAAGGAAAATTTGTGCCATGTGGACATTGTCAAGCAAACTTGCGCGCAAGCTTACGTACAATGTTGCTTTACGAAAGTTGAATGCTTTTGCAGAATGTTTAAAATTAAAGCTCTGCTTGTCTAAGTTAACGGCTTTCGAATATATTAGGACACATTAATTTGAAAGTGTTGCGCGAGAGTGTGCTGCTAACATATTGATAATCGCGTTGAGCGATTCCAGACCAAATCCCAATAAAAAATGTTTGATTTGTCTCGACCTTCTACGGTTTGCTCGACGCTTTGAATAATTGTTGGTTATGGTCCACACATTCACAGGTGTAGCGGTCATCGTCAGAAAGGGAATCAAGTTCACTCTGTCCCACATCCGCACTTCTATCATCGAGGCCATTAGTGTGGAGGTGGAATCACCAACTGGAAACGTCCGGTTTATCGCAGTTTACAGTGCCCACGTCAGTGTACCACAAGCAACGGCCTAGGCATCCAATTCAAGAACGATCTGACCGCCATCACTCGTACTAGCTCCCGATTCATCGTTGGGGGTGACCTGAACGCCCGCCATGAAGGTTGGCGGAACTACCAGCGGAACCGGAACGGATGTCTATTGTTTGACCACGCACAACATGGACTGTACACTGTGCAATTTCCGGACGAACCAACTTTCATCTCTCCGACGGGAAATCCCTCCACTCTGGACTTCTTCCTGTCAAACATCGGACTACCCAAGCCGGAGGCGCACAACGATCTCAGCTCCGACCACCAACCGGTGGTGACTGAAGTCGGTGTCAACGTGGTTCCAGCTAGAAGCTGCCTGCGTAAAGACTACCACCATGTCAACTGCGTGCAGTACGGTCGAACGGTGGACAGCAACATCGATGAAAATCCACTGCTCGACACCGTAGATGACATCGACCGGGCGTTGGAAGGACTCCAACAGGCCATATCCGAGGCTGACGAGACATGCGTTCGACAAGTTCCTGTGAGGGGTAAGTTTGTTGCTATTTGTCTGTGAGGACCACCCTAAAACACACCATCTCAACCGACCAGCAGTACGGCCGACTGTTGTTTTGGATGTCCTTTGTTTTGCCAATCGGTCGACGGTCAGCCAGATGAACAAGGGAGATCACTTTCCCTTTCGATGGCACTTACATTTGACGTCATCGATGCAACCGATGGATCGGTAGCCGATAGCTGGTGAGCGCGAGAGAATTTCGGTGAAGATGTATTTTGTATATGTATAAATTCACCACAGATTGTTTGGTTCAGGTTTTGTTTTAGGAGTAGTGGCAGGTCAAAATTAGTGTTGAGTAATACAAGGTCGAGGACGGTCCTGCGTGACCAATTTAGTGTTAAGAAGAAATGTGAATAAATGTAAATTGGTAGAGTCCTGTTTAGTAAGGAGTTGTGTTAAATGTAAAAGAGTGTTTTCTGTACTGTGTCCATTACGGAAGAATCACCATCACCTCATCGAACATCCCAACCCATCCACCGAGCTATCAACCGGTCCAGGTATCCTACACTATTGATTCCCACACCCAATTATTGATTCGATTGAGAAATGTGCGTAGACGTCAGTTTCAGAAGACTGGAGACCTGGGCAAAAAAAAAAATAAAATGGCTGATCTGAAAAGGCAGATTGCTTCCAGAATTGACTCACTCCGAAATGAAAGTTTCGGACGTGTTGTCCAGAATCTGGACGACCGCTCCAGACCATTCTGGAAGGTAGCCAAGGTCCTGAAAACTCATCCCAAACCCGTTCCACCTCTCAGAGTCGAAAATGATGACGATCGGTTTTTAATCACCCCACAGGAGAAAGCAAATGCGATCGGCAAGCATTTCGCTCCATCGCATTTGCTTGGCTCGACTATCCAAAGTCCGCTCGAAGATCAGGTTGCGCAATGCGTTCACAACCTAGATGTCAACCCTTGTGTCGTGCCTCCGGCGGATATGATTACAGTGCAACAGATTTGCTCAACGCTGAAATGTACCAAGAACATGAAGGCTCCAGGGTTTGACGGTATATGCAACTTGATCTTGACGAAACTCAGCATGAAAATGAAGTCTCTTCTAACTGCTATCTTTAACAGATGCTTGGAACTGCACTACTTTCCAAGCATCTGGAAAGTAGCAAAAATCATACCAATCCGCAAGCCCGGTGAGGATCCAACATGGTCTTCAAGCTACAGACCAATCAGCCTCCTTTCAGCGCTGAGCAAATTGTTCGAGAAACTCATTCTCAATCGTTTGCTCAAGTTTGTTGAGGAAAATAACATTCTATTTCCGGAACAGTTTGGGTTCAAAAAGGGGCACTCCACCAATCACCAACTAGTGCGGGTGATGAATAACATCCGAAGAAACAAGGCTGTATCCAAGTCCACAGCCATGGTCTTGTTAGACGTTGAGAAAGCGTTTGATAATGTCTAGCACAATGGGCATGTATTCAAGCTTTGTAACTTCAACTTTCCATTACATCTGGTTAAAATCACCCGTAACTACCTCCAGCAAATGTCGATTAAGGTATCGTTGAATAGTTGTCTTTCCGACGAATACAAGAACGGTCGTGCTGGTGTAGTGCGTACTTCTGGTAACGGTGTCATGATTTGAGTTGACAGCTTAGGATGACACCGAAAGCAAGTGACGCATTGACGAACTACTGCACGAGCTAGATCACGACCCCGGAGTGGCCAGAATCGTTGACGTACCGTAGCAAGCAGAAGTGAAGGTCCACCGTGCAATGTTTTGAGGTGTATTGCTCGCACGACCAGCTCAGTTTGTGGTCGATTCGTAGCAATTCGTCCATGAAAAGGTTCATATTTCTAAGAGGGGACTTTGGTCCAAGATTCGGTGATCACATTCATCAGGCGACAGTGATCCAGTTGAGCGCTGCTCCTTTGGCAGCTTGCAGTTGTGGTAAAACCTGTAGCAGTAGGCAATACCTTTCAGCAGTTTGGCGAGCTCTGAATATCGGTCGAAGAGCTCTTGATCTACTGTGCTGATATGTAATGCGACGGCACGACGAGCCTTCCGTTGACGAATTGATCATCTGGCGTCGGAATACTGATTCTGGCCATTGCTCCTTCGGGTATCGCAGGAATGTGGGACCATGCCACCATAGATCGTCTTTCACGATCTGCCTTGCCAGGGTACCTCGCGAAATCCGGTCGGCTGGGTTTAAGTTCGTGGAAACATGTCTCCACTCGAATGCTTTTGTAAGTCGTTGAACCTCAGCCATCCGATTGGAAATGAAAACTTTCCAGATGTTGGATCTCGATTGTACTGTCGGTCCACATTGTCGCTGGCGCTGTGAATTCGGTAGTTCTATGTAAAGTTTTTTTTTTTTTTTTCTTTATTTTTGTGATTTTTAGCCGTAGGCTAGTTCATCACATACTCTATCTATGTAAAGTGTCCACGAGCTGACTTCCAAGTAGCGCAGCACAAAGTTCCAGCCTTGGAATGGATTGTCCACGCAGTGGTGCAACACGAGATTTCGAGGTAAGAATGTGACTATGGAGCTCTCCCGTTTCGTCTGGCAAAACGACGTAGACACAGCACCCGTAACCTTTCGTGGAAGCGTCACAGAAGCAGTGCAGATAATATTGCTGAGAAGTGTTTGCAAGAATCTTTCTCGGAACTTGTAGGATCGATAGCTGCTGGATGTCAGTTCGATAAGTCATCCACCATTCTTGCAATTCGGTAGAGAGCTCCGTCTCCCATGGCAAGTGTTCCGCCCAGAGAGTTTGCACAAACATTTTGGCACACAGTACGACAGGCCCGAGCAGACTGATGGGGTCGAACAAGCGGGACATCTCGGACACAACTACCCTCTTGGTGATGACGGCGTGCTCAAGAACGGCTGGTATCTTAAACATGAGCTGGTCGGATTTAGGAAACCACAGAAGGCCTAGCGCCATTACGGCAGTCGCTAACTTTCCCATAACTCGGGAGGAACGTTCTCCTTCTTCCTGAAGGGTGTGTAGATCGTCGTGCCCAGTCAATACGTCATCGACGTAGGTTCCCTTCCGAATGACTGACACTGCGAGAGGGTAGTGTTCTCCGTCATCAGTTGCCAATTGATTGAGTACTCGAGTCGCCAAGTACGGTGAGCTGGACTGTCCGTACATAACCGTCTTCATCTGGTAAACACGAATTGGCTCGGATGGATCGTTCCTCCACAGAGTTTGCTGGTATCTGCGGTCATCCGGATGTACCCAGATCTGCTGGAACATCTTCTGTGCATCAGCAGTAAAGGCAAAACGTGGTATCCGAAAATTGATGACGGTTGTTGGCAGCGGTGACTGCACTGTGGGTCCAATGTACATGACTTCGTTTATCGACAGGCCGTTAGCACCATGGCTGGATCCATCGAATACAACTCGAGTCTTTGTTGTTGTGCTCTCTGGGCGATGTATAGCGTGGTGGGGGAGGAAAAACTGTGGGCCGGATAACGCGAGGCGAATTTACCTCCATGTGGCCCAACTTCTGGTACTTCTCCAGAACGTTACTGTATTCTTCATGAAAGTTTTCGTCAACGGCAAACTTCTTCTTCATCGACGGCAGTCGACGAAGTGCAGGAGTATACGAGTCCCCGATTAGCGAAACCAATTCATCCCGCAACGGAAGACGAACGACGTATCGGCCATTCTCGTCTCTCGAAATGGATTGCTGGAAATGTTTCTCACAGAACTGCTCGTCTGGAGTGAATGCCTTCTCGCTATCAAGATTCTCAATCTCCCAGAACCTTTCCAACTGGGAATCGAGTGACTCGTCGGTGCAGAGATGACTAGACTGCACAACTACCTCTGTGGTAGCTTGTTCCATGACTTTGCCACAGACGACGAAACCAAGAACGGTTTTTTGGAGGATTGGATAGCCAGTATCGAGAATGATCTGCTGGTTTTCCAGAAGCAAGTAGAAAAGCTCAGCGCCGATGATGACATCAACCCCTTGGCTAATGTTGAACTGCGGATCGGCAAGTGGAAGATGCCTTGGAATCCGCCAGGGTGTTACGTCGATGCTGAATCTGGGTAGTGCAACGGCGAGCTTCGGTAAAACCAAGCAGTCAAGATTGGATGTGAAGGCACCAAAGCGAGAGGCAATCGACATAGTTACACCATAGCGTACGTTAACCATAGACTGTCCGATACCGCTGACTGGAGAACTGAGCTTTGTCCGCTTCAAGTTAAGCCTTTGACACAGTGCTTCGGAGATGAAGCTGGGCTGGGATCCACTATCGCACGAGCGTACTGGTACTTATTGTCCCCATCCAGGACCTTGATCACGGCAGTAGAAAGCAGCACGGCATTTGTGTTTTGTTTGTGGATCACTTCAGCACTTTGACAGGTATTAGGAGGTAAATTTGAATCGAACGAGGCTACCGACGACGAGGGAAGTTCGTAACCGAAAGCGGACGACGCGAGTGGTGAGGTGTTCAAAAACTCAACCGACCGAGAGCTTTGTACCGAACCGAATTGCGGCTGTTGATTTTGCAAACTATTCGATTCAGCAAAGGAACTTAGTTGTACCGGCTGTTGTAGACGGTTGCCCATTGTGGCCGAAGATGATAAATGCAACATCGTATGGTGTTTTTTCGCGCAGGTTTTGCATCCGCCACTGGTACAGTCCTTCGCTAGATAGACCCCTTTCATGCAGTTGATGCAGAGGCCGTTCCTATTGATGAGATCGAATCGTTCGTGAGGAGTGAGGGACTGGAATTTGTCGCACTGAAACAGCAAATGGTGCTGCTAACAGCAGGCGCACACTATAGTGTTCGATGAGCGTACGTGCACAGCAGAAACACGTAGCTTCGACTTGCATTCGGGCTGCAAGCCAGCACTAGGTTGGGAGAGCATAAGGGTTTGTAGTATTCGGGATCGTTTGTGGATGAAATCGACGACATGTTGATATGTTGGTCTAACTTCGCCCGAGAATTGTGCTTCCCATTCGCGAAGAGAGATGGTATCTAGACAACTACTGAGTCGTTCCACCAAGAATGAGTTCCAATGCTCTTCAACTCCCTCAAGTTTATCCAAAAGTTGAACATGGCGGTTAAACTCATCTGCCAAATCTAGAAGTCCACTAGCAGACTCCCTTTTAAGTGGAGAAACCGAAAGCAAACCAGTCATGTGACGCTTGATCGGCTTGTTCTCAACTCGGTCTTTCAGTAGCTTCCATGCTATCGAGGGGAGCGATCATGCGTGCAGCCTCGCCAGTGAGCGATGCACGCAGATAATGCAGCTTCTGCACCATGGTTAGCTGCTGGTTTGAATGGATCAGTGAGATGAAAAGATCGCTGAGTGACTCAAACTTGCCGGAAAATTCTTTCAGTTTGATTTCTGCAAGATGGAGATTTGGCACAGACTGATCTACGGGGACGGGAGGATTCCTAGACGACGACGGAATACACGGAAGGGGCACCTTGGTTGTCAACGATGCCTTCAGCGTGTAATAAAGATTTTGAAATGTCCGTTTCTCATCCCTGAACTCGTCGTATGCGTCTTCAAGATCTTCGATTTGATTTTGTACTCCCTCAAATTCCCACCACAATTCATCCAAATGTTGGATATGAATTGGAAGTTGATTGACCTGATCCACGACGTACTCAACGTCAAACGTCTGGATCAGCCCTGCCGAATTTAAAATATTTGACTGCCGACGGTACAGGCACTTCAATTTGGTCGCCTTACTGATTCGCTTCGACGGCGCCATCGTGTTTGTTGCCCCGAGAAAAAGAAAGAATTTACCATTTTTTTTTTTTTTTTTAACTCTTTATTTGTTCCAAATTCAAAATAAATTACATTTCATTTTAACCTAGGTGCTCCAGTTACTGCAGTAACGTACCAGCCTTAATTGTTATGATATATATCTAAGTGTTTTTACATTTTATTTTATTTATTTATTTATTTATTTCATCAACCGATGTAGACTAGTACAAATACATATACAAATTTGTTTTTCTTAAGAATATTAAAAAATATATTGTCAGCTATTATATTTTTACTTCCTACGAGTTATGATTCCGTATGGAGTTAAAATATTGTTTTAGTTTATGCCGAGACATTGAAAAGTCAATGGTTTCGCAGTATTGATTGTAAGACGCCATCATGCGATTTAATGGCCCAAATTTTGCATAATTTGTGCGATGATGGGTTACGATTTCTGAGTTGTCGAGTAGGTACATAAAAATTTAATTTTGATAAAAGTTCTGCTGAGTTAATGCGCTGCGAAACGATATCGTTTACAAACGAAACCATTGCATATTCACGACGCTCTTTTAATGTTTGTATGTTTATAAGCATGCAGCGTGCTTCATATGATGTAAGAGGAAATGAAGTCCAACCTAATTTACGAAGAGCGTATAATAGAAATTGCTTTTGTACTGATTCTAATCTTTCTTCGTGCGTGATTGAAAATGGAGACCATACAATGCTGCAATATTCCAGTATTGACCTCACATAGGCAATATATAGTGTTTTAATTGTGTATGGGTCCTGAAAGTTATAGCAAAAGCGCTTGATAAAGCCTAGCATGTTATTTGCCCTGTGAATAATTGTATTGTAATGGTCTATGAAAGTTAGTTTGGAGTCTAAGATAATCCCTAAATCCCTGACTCTTTCACATTTTTCTACATTCTGATTTCCTAATGCAATTGAAATGTTTGATGGTGTTCTTTTTCTGCTAAATGATATTAAGTTGCATTTTTTTACATTGAGTTCTAATAGGCTTTTTTTACACCATGTGTAGAATATGTGTATTTCACTCTGGAATATATTGATGTCTTCATCATTTTTTATTTCCAAAAAGAGCTTCATGTCGTCGGCATAGATTAGCAATTTTATTTTTTTGAGAATGAAGGAAATGTCGTTTACGTACAGAATAAAAAGAAGAGGTCCCAGATGAGAGCCTTGCGGGACTCCTGAGGTGACTTGAATTGGGGTCGATTTCTTTCCGTTGAATTTAATTATTTGTTGGCGGTTAGTTAAATATGATTCAAGCCATTTCAGGAGTCCTGGCTCAATTCCAATTTTTTTCAATTTGAAAAGAAGCATTGGTATGTCAATTCGGTCAAATGCCTTGCTAAAGTCTGTATAGAGAGCTTCTACGTGGTTTCCATTATCCATTGCATTTAATGAATAGTCTATAAATTCAAGTAAATTTGTCGAGGTCGAACGTCCTTTAAAGAAGCCGTGTTGCATGTCAGTAATTCTATTTTTGGTTTGAAGAAATAATTTTTCATTTACAATTGCCTCGAAAAGCTTTGGAATGCAAGAGATAATGGCTATTCCACGATAATTACGTACGTCAGATTTTCGGCCAGATTTAAAAATAGGTACTAAAAATGAGCTTTTCCATATTTTTGGGAAGGTTCCGGATTCCAGTGACATATTAAAAAGCCAAAACAATGGAGCAGTGAGTTCCATTGCTAGACTTTTTAAAAATACTGGAGGAATTCCGTCAGGTCCAGGACCTTTCGAGGCGTCTAAATTCTTTAAAGCCTGCAAAATATCCTGCACTTGAAGTTGATTGACGCCAATGTCCCTTGAAAATTCTGGATGAAATGCAAAATAATTCAATTGTTCATGTCTTGGCAATTCAGTATTTTAAACAGGTTTTTTAACCTGCATGTCAGTATAACAATTGATATCTTAAAACTAAAAACTAAAACTAAATCTTATCAAAGTATAAAGGGAATTAATCGTTGCAATTGAGGATTGCAACGATTTTTGCCTGAAATTATTAATTATTTTGTTGGACATTTGTGCTAAAGTCTCAACATTCGAAATTCTATGTACTTCGGTTGTACTGTACCAGGGAGGCAACTTCAAAATCATTTTCAGAATTTTGTTCTGAATCCTTTGAAGTGCTTTTTTCCTGGTAGTGCAGCAACTAGACCATATTGGCACAGCGTAAAGCATGGCCGGTCTAAAAACTTGTTTAAATATTAGAAGTTTATTCGTCAGGCAAAGTTTGGATTTCCTGTTTATAAGAGGATACAAACATTTAATATATTTGTTACATTTGGCTTGAATGCCCTCAATGTGATCTTTAAAAGTTAATTTTTGGTCAAGTATTAATCCAAGATATTTCACTTGGTTTGACCAGGAAATTGGAACTCCGTTCATAGTGACTATGTGACTGCTACTAGGTTTCAAAAACGAAGCTCTAGGCTTATGTGGAAATATTATAAGTTGAGTTTTGGAAGCGTTGGGAGAAATCTTCCATTTTTGTAAATAAGAAGAGAAAATATCTAAACTTTTCTGCAGTCTGCTGCAAATAACACGAAGACTTCTTCCTTTAGCGGAAATGCCTGTGTCATCAGCGAACAAAGATTTGTGGCAACCCTGAGGCAAATCAGGGAGGTCCGAAGTGAAAATGTTATACAATATAGGCCCAAGAATGCTACCCTGAGGAACTCCTGCTCTAACAGGTAGTCGATTAGATTTGGAATTTTGATTATTTACCAGCAGAGTTCTGTCAGTTAAATAATTTTGAACTAATTTCATAATATAAAGTGGAAAATTAAACTTTTTCAATTTAGCAATCAAACCTTCATGCCAAACACTGTCGAATGCTTTTTCTATGTCTAGAAGAGCAACTCCAGTTGAGTGGCCTTCAGATTTGTTTGAACGAATTAAATTGTTAACTCTTAAGAGTTGATGAGTAGTTGAATGCCCATGGCGAAATCCAAACTGCTCATCTGCAAAAATTGAGTTCGTATTGATGTGAAGCATCATTCTATTCAAAATTATCTTTTCAAAAAGTTTACTTATTGAAGAAAGCAAACTTATTTGACGGTAGCTAGAAGCTTCAGCTGGATTTTTATCCGGCTACAAAATTGGAACAACTTTTGCATTTTTCCATTTATCAGGAAAGTATGCCAAATGGAAACATCTGTTAAATAATTTTACCAAGAAAGACAAGGTACTCTCTGGGAGTTTTTTGATGAGGATATAGAAAATTCCATCATCACCTGGAGCTTTCATATTTTGAAAATTTTTAGTTATAGACCTTACTTCGTCCAAATCAGTCCCCCAGGAATCATCAAAAATATTTTCCCGAGAGAAAATATTCAGAAAATCCCGAGCAACCTGATTCTCAATAGGACT